AATCGCATAAAGAAAAGTCTATTAAAATGCAGGTGATAGAAACAATAAAATGATTTTGACTGCAATTGTGGCTTATAAAGTATTCAAATGGTTTAATATTGCTTTTTAATTGTCAAAAGTATTAAGTAGTAATTTTGACTAGCCGTTTTAAAAGTTGGTCAGAACCGACAGATCGCGCTCACGGTTCTCGATATCTCTATTTTCGCTTCAGACAGGATTGAATGATATCCTCATAACTCTCAAGAAAAGAAAATATTCATTATCTTCAAGCTTCACCTATTGACACTATATTTGTAATATGTACAGACGGGCCAAGCACTAACCTTCCGACAGGTCTCCCGGTATCTGTGGTAGCGTAGTGCATGTCAGTGTAAGTGTGTGTAGGTTAGGGGTGAGGGTAGGACAAGGAAGAGGAAGGTGAGCTCGCGCGCGGTCCGTGGCTCGTTTGTTCGGGTACGGCATCGGCATTCGCCAGGTATTGACCGGAAAAAACACTGAAAACGTCTGATCACAGCAGCCGGCGGCTAGAATTCTCCTCCAAACAGTGACTGAATTCGACATATCTATCCAAATATATAGTTATATTTTCTACTCATTGCGATATAAAATATACACAAAATTATGACTCCGTGTGTTTTACTATTTTTTTTCTTAATACTGTTTTATATTATTTTCAAGTAGTTGTCATATATGATGATGTAAAAATAGCTAGAGACGAAAATCCTGTCATTGCGGGACTCGAACCTAGGATCTGTCGGTGGTCAGAGGCACTGCAATGACATTAGTTGGCGCGCTGAGCCACCTCGCCCGGTCGCAGCGTCGGCAGAGCAGTTCTGCATCTAATTTGCAGGGCGAGGGACGCGTTGGCTCGCCCGCGTCCCCGTGTCCCCGCGTCCCCGCCTCACCGCGTCCCCGCGTCCCCGCGTCAATCCCTCACCGCCGTCCCCGCGTCCCCCCTCACCATTCCCCGCGTCCCGCGTCCCCGCCCCCCGCGACCCGCCTCCCGCGACCCGCGATCCTGCGTCCCCGCGACCTTGTGTCCCCGCGACCCCGCATCCCCGCCTCCCCGTGACCCCGCCTCCCCGCGTCCCCGCGTCGCCTCCTCCCCGCATCCCCGCGTCCCCGTGTCCCCGCGTCGCCTCCTCCCCGCATCCCCGTGTCCCCGGGCGCGCCTCGCAGGGCAGGGCGCAACGAGGCGGCGGACGCGCCGCTGGAATTAATAAAACACGGGAGGGCTGCGCTGTCCAATTTTATTGTTCCGCGTTTCTCGCCCTGGACGAAATCCTCCTCGTGCGACCGGTTACGCAGTTTCCATTTCACACCCTTAGCGCAAATCTGCATCGGCGGAACGACACAGCCTATAGCTTTTGGCGTCGAAAAAAATGGTTTGCTTTCTCGCCCTTCGGAAAGTACTCCGTAAGAATATGTAATCGTGCTCCCAAAAACGGCGGCGAAATTTCCACAGAAAAGTTCTCGGTTAAAATTTAGAATACGGTACACACTTAGAGAAACGTGGCGGCTGGGCTTAAGCCCTAATTACTGTACGAGCTCTAATAGAAATGAATAAAACTTACGGATATGCGATTTTTATGGTTCTACCTTCATATACTTTGTCCCCGCCGCATTGTAACACCAATTTACTTTCAAAGGCAAATTAGTCACGGCGAGGCTCGGGCCTTCGGGCCTCGCGTTCACTATAAACATCCTTGAGTCTATCCAACGCATAATTACCAATTCACTTTTACAAGACATCACTTTTCAAGAAAGCCCCCAGAATTCTAACTGCCTAGTTAACGCCGGAACGGCGCGAAGTGCCGGTTTAAATGACTTCCCTATGTTGTACCGTATACTACATTTCAGCCAAATTATCTTTGCCGGGCCCTGGTTTCTACATGCAATATGCTTTCATTCGCTGTTTCCAGAGTCGTCCTATCTCACGGGGCTTAAGCCAACGCACCGCAATGCTTGAATCGCCTACTCCTGCAGCTCTATTGACGTGCAAGAGACGATTGAACCTCCAACGAGCAGATAATATCAGCGCGTGTTGGTCGCGCAGGCTGTGCTATGACGTCAGTACATGCGTGAAAGCGCATGCGCGGCGCAGTCAGGAATGAGCTTTGTGCAGAAATTTACATTAGTGAAGCGTAAGAACGCATGCACCTACACTAGTGTCGTCGGGAAGGGCATCCATCATTCTGCCAGAACCTAAAGTTAAACGTTAAAAACAATCGTTGGAATACGGTGAAAAATATATATTTCGTTGAAAATTCGACAGTATTTCACGCTGGCATACGTATTGAAACTGCTGGGAGTTTTTTGGTCGCCAGTCGGAAGAAACCATGCATCAAAAGGAAAACAATAAATGGAAAACATTTTTATGCGGATCTACGGCTTGTCAGAAAACTAAACGCCAAAGCGGAACAAGACGTTTTGAATGATAGTTGGGAATGCACCTGCCAGTGACGGCTCATTTATCCACAAATTATGTGTAGACGTCGTGGGAATTCGAATGTGTTATGCATACAGAGACAAACTGGGCCCTAGGGTTGTCGATCCATGGGGTCCCCTTATTAAAAAAAATATTCCTTCCTCCCCAATTCATAACCGGAATTCACTTCTCCATGCATCAGAAAAAACTTATAGTGCTACATTTTGATTAGAAATAAATATATTTTTCAATTCTTCTGAATCGGGGCTCCAACTATTTCGGCGCCTGGGGCAAGTTGGGTCAGCTACCTCTTCCTATACATACGTAGTACATCATTGTTTCGGACTGAGAGTAAATGAACGCATTATTATGCCTGCTCATCGAAGGAAGGTCGTGTGATTCCACCACTCAACGCACCATGACCTCAGTAAGAAAATCATCGCAAAAACGTGTAGTAGTGTCACTTATCTTCAGTGTTATTCACTATATTTTACACAGAAAATGATATTCCGCAAATACGCTTAAGAAAGAAACTTTTTATTTCTCCGCAAAACAGCTAATCCAAATGTCGTACTTTAATTTGTAATTTTCACGTTCATTAAAATATTCAAAAGTGTTAATTACAAGAATAATCTACATCAAATAAAAGATAAAAAGAAAAGAAACGCATAACAACAAGCTCAAAATAATTACCCAAAGTTGGCGCGAAAAATCTCGTGCTGCATCAGATTCTTACTACCATAATTTCACTCACATATTTCAATTATACCTATTTTAATTCAATTACATTAATTCAATTATTACATTTTTCATTTATAAAAAGTTAAGTCCTTACAGAAAAACACATATTGGTTACGAATAATTCTAAGAAGCCAAGATCGGAACTCAGCGAGAAAAGATTCGCGGGAAATTTTATCCTTTTTCCCGCAAATATCTGTGATAATCCATGAAAATTCTGTATAAAATTACAAAGCATTTTTTTCAATTATTCAGAAAATAAATTACATTCAAAAAGAAAACACTTTCATTAATACAACTTTTAAATGGAACCATAACTACACTACATACGAACAAATGCACACACGAAAAATTTTTAATTAAAAATAAATGAAAAGAAAAAATGATCACAAATATATTTAAAAGAAAAGATTATTCAAACTTCTGCAATACGTGAAAGGATATGTGCCTTCGAATATCAAATAAATATACAGGTTTCAGCTTACATTGGTACTGTTAACATACATTTACTAAATTTCAACTTTCTTATTTACTAACGACATTTTTTGAATCATCTATGCCAAGTTTAAAATAAAGTAGGAAAGTTGTCCTTAATACGAAAAGGCTAGTTCCGAAACAACGTGCTCTGAAGATTACCCATGATGTCGGGAACAATACTCTATTGTGGTCACAACAGTTACTTTTCAAGCTTTTTCAAATGAAAAATTAAATTCAAAAAAGAAATACAGGTATTAGTACCCATTTTTAAAAGCTGCCTATATATCACGCGACAATAATGTCAAAAGGGTGACCATAGTTCTTTTAAGTATTTCCTGATAGTTTCGTAAATTCAATGGCACTTTTTACGACATTTCTTCAGTTAGTATTGTTGTGAATAAAAATCCAAAAAGAGACAATTCGTAAAAATGTGAATTGAAAAGTGAAAGCGAACTCCCCGGGGAGGGACACGCGCAGTGCTCAATCCCTTGAAATATTCACTATCATCCTTTAATACTCAATACATTATTACTTCTTTAATATTGATATAAAGAACAATTGAAATCAAACAGAAATCTCTCTCAGGATTACTACTCGAACAGGCAAACACAATCTCTATTAGTTATAGCATATCTTGCTAAATTCATTCTACTGAACTTCATACATTATACTAGTAAGAATAATTCACTACTAAAAGAGCGTGCACGTTGTATTACGAGTCAAGACCAAAAATTCTAACTTGCCGCGAAAAAACGCGCTCAGCCTATCCCCATCCAAAAGTGTAAGCAACTATTTTTTCAAAAAGGGAAAAGAAACTCTTTACGCAATTTCGACTAGTTCTTGTCAAATATGTCTCGTTAAGCTCATTCCATTTTAATTTACACAACATTACACGGGGAATATTTAATTAATTCGAAATGAAATGGATGATTCAAATTCAAAACGAATCAAATCCAAAAGTTACAACTCACCGCGAAATGGTACGCGTAGCAGCGTATCACCATCCGAAAAAGAATGCAAAACCACTCATTCAAAAAGAAAAACAGGTAAAGAAACACCACCGCGAAAATGTTTTCGCAACCCCTTGTAATACTTACTAAATGTCTGTTACGTTCCTTCTATTTTACTTTACACAACAGTGCATTGGAAATTATCAATTAATTCAAAAAGAAAGTTCCCGAATCAAATCCAAAATTTGGAACTCACAGCTAAAAAAGGTTTTTGCGTAATGTCTACCAGTTCTCGTCAAATATCTCTTGTTAGGTTTTTTCTGTTTTACTTTACACAATACATTGCGAACAACCATAAATTAATTGAAGAAAGGTGCAGGAGTGGAATCCAAAAAATTGCAACTCACCGCGAAACGACACGCGCAGCAGCTTATCCCCGCGCTCGCGGGCGCCGCTCACGGCGTCCACCCTCACGCGCAGCGCCATCGCCGCCGCCCTCGCGTGCTCCCTGCGCTCGCCTTGGCCCTCGCCGTGCGCTGCGCGCCGCTCCTTCAGCGAGGGGCTCCGGCGAGCACGGCCTCCTGCGGCACTGCGCCGCCCGACAGCATGGCCTCCTCCTCCGCGCACCGGCCCGGCTCTCGTGCTCGCGACCGCTCGCCGCGACGCCCCGCACGGCACTGCGCGCCGCGCCGACCGCCCGCCGCGACGCCCGCCGCCACCGAGCGCGCCGCCGCACAGTGGGCCGGACCTCTCAATATCCATTTGGCAAATTTGAATTAATTTGCTTTCCAGTATACGTACGTATATGCGAAGTAATAAACGTAGTATAGAGAACGTTATGTAATGCTGCGGAAAATCGAATTCGAGATTTCAACGGAGATACACGTTTTGGGGTCTCCTGATGCCGAGCAAGACTTTTGTTTTCCACAACGTCCGTCCGTGCGTCTGTCCGTCCGTCTATCTATCCGTCCGTGAACACCACTAGTCCTTAAATCATTTGTACAATATTTTTAGGACGGATATTTTCTGGACGATCTGGCTCAACTCGAGGCGCTGCCATTTGGAAGAACTTTCTTCACAATTTGGGGGTATTTCACATGAAGCCCCCCGGACATTTTCAAAGTTTTCTTAATAACGGCTCCAATTTTTTCTTTAAATTTCTTGTAAAAATAGAGTAAAACACACGTATGAAGCTGGAATAGGTCCGATTTTCAGGGTGACTGTCAATTTTCGAAAATTTTGAAATATTGAAATTTTCCCCGTGTTTTTCTATAACTACAAAATTGAACTTAGAGGCTTTTCCCTTCAAATAAAATTTGTTTCCATAGTGAGTTATTTCTTTAAGGTCATGTATTTTTTGATAATTTAGTAGTTTTTGCGCAATATTGCGTGCAATTTGTGCAGTTCTAAAAAGAACAAAAACAAGTTTTCTCGAAAACAATTCCAAATTTTTGTTTAAACATTTGAGTTAAATTGAATTAATGTCTTATTTTACGTGGCGAGACTCAGGCCATGAGGCCTGCTCCACTATCTGTCCACGCAAATTTCGCTACGCTCCATTCACCAACTAGCAGAGAAAGGAGGTATTTCTTGGGCGAGAAACAGGCGATTTGAATTTAGCTCAGAGGCGTCATTTTTCGCTTGAGTATCTTTTACATGCAAGTAAATATACTAACATGGGATACCCGGCTTAACATGGGACATTTTCTCGAAAACTCAACCTTTTTTCAGGGACAACAAACTCAATATTCCGTAGTTTCAGATACGGCATTTTTTAAAAACCACTCCAATCTTTTAATTCCAACTTCTCGAACGGATAGTGCAAATTGCACTCTTTAATATGATCTAAAGTTATTTTCGGTGTTTATTTTAAATTACACAATTTATTTTTTAATTATCACTCACGCTGTTAATATGGACATTTCCAGAAATTTGAAAACACTGTTGTATTTGTGAGTTAAAGTGCTTCCAATGACTTTGTTGAGTTTTTGTTTGAAGTCGTTGACTGAACGTTTTCGAAAACTCAAACATTTTCTGTGAGAAAGATCTTCATATTTCGAATTTACAGTAGCACCTAAGTGGCATTTTCTTAAAAACGGCTACACATTTTTCAAAGAAAATTGCCCTTTAGGGCAATATTTCACTGTTCTTTAATATTTTTAAAGTAATATTTCCGTTCTAGTGTTAAGAAGCCGAAAAATTAAGAAATTTGTTTTAAAAAAGTGGGTTTGGGTTTCGATAGATGGCAGCTGGCAAGAGTATGTAGCAAGTCCGAATACCTAGTCCAGACCTAAAACGAGAATGTCTTTTTCGTTCTGTAGCACCACTAGTTTCGTAATTGTACAGTGTTCCAAGCCCTTGTGGCGTTGAACAAGAGCAATATTATTTTATACGTGCAGTTTGTCATTGTGGGCTATGTAACGTCAAGGCCTCTTATCCCTCTCGACTAGGGACTCGGCGCCGTTTGTGTCCGGATTTACCGGACGGACACGTAGACAGGGGCGCGAGCTGCTTCACCTTCGACTTCACGAGAGAGGTTAAGCAGTTCGGCTACTGGCACGACGAGTGTCTGAAGCCAAACTGTTCGAAATTGATATCAGTTTCCTCATATGTGTTATTAGAAAACGAATGTTAAAATAATACATCGCCTCCTATTAACTACAATCAACGTAAATTTGTTACCTTTCGAGAGACGATTTGTCAAGTTGAAAGGAAAAGTGTGGTACATTGAAAAATTTACAATGCGCATAAAACTTTGTGCAAAATCTGTATATTAACATCTTATTACAATATTCTATTGTTTATTTAAACTCTTATAGTAATAATATGACCTACAAAAGACACACATTGGTTAATTATAATGGCTCCGCACCACGAAATCGCTTGGAATTGTTTATCAGGCAACTCGTATGACTTTAATATATTACACTTTTTCGGCTTGAAATAATTCTTACAATTACCATGTATCTTTAATATTAGTTACTTAATATTACTTGAATATTAGTAGGTATCAACGGAATGCAACATAATTTCTGACTAATAATTTTAGACTACCTTATTTGTATTTCAAGCTTGAATATGCTTGTAAATAAATATACACTGGAACACCAAGGACCAAAACCATGAGAAGGATGAGGAGTATTACAAAGAAAAGACGAAGGACAACCAGAACAAAGTGAAAAAGTGTTCTTTAATCAGGAATCGAATCATATTTGTATATTATGTAGTATATTCACATTCTCCAGTACCAAGAGGTCCAAAACCAAGATTCTATCTATTATTGGCAAAGTGTCGTTGGCTTTTAAATAGTTTAAATAAAAGGTCCAATTTCTAGCTTTAGACAGCAAATCTGAAAATAACGTCTACGCAATCGACATCTACTAATTTAACGAACAAAAGATTGAAAAATACAATACCTTTTATCTTCAATGAAACCAGCAATTCAAAGTTAGAAGAACGTGAACAAAAAACACTACGTGACCATACGGAGGCTAAAAGCTATTGGGTGGATCTTATCTCTTCACGGACTCAATGAACGAATCCGCCGCTAGAGCGGAGAACGAGAGACGGAAACAAAGGAGGGTACAATGCATTGTTAGGTTAATGGTTTCCTTCCATTTTGTACAAGTTAACAACAATGTTTCCGCCACAATCTATTTGACAAAAATGTTTTGAAGTTGTAACTTCATATATTCAAAGTTGTTAATGTAGAACCACTGAACGCTGAAGAACCGAAGCCTCGTCCTCAACTCGCCAATAGTAAAGTTTCCCGGGCTTTTAAATTATTTTTTGAGTAAAATATGTTGGAAATTATGCTTTCACAACATTTGTACATTTTGAACGCATACTATGAGGCCTGAAGTTTGATGGTTTGAGTTTCTTGTTCAATTTTCTCGTGCAGAGTCCTTATTTTTTTATTTGGATGCAATAAAGATTAATATCTAATTTTACGTTATTTTCAAACCATTGAGTTGGTATTATTTAGATCAACATGTAATAAAATTTCAAACATAATATATTCCTTAATTTAGCTAGGAAAAGAGTATGTTTCATTTTCGGATCTAAAGCTAGACGAAATGAGCATTTTGAACAACGAAACAAGCCTAAAATTTAAAAATATGAAACAAAATTAGTCTAATATTGAACATTTTGTGTGATTTCGTAGATTTTGCCGCCTGGGCTCTGTAAGCTTATTTAGTCAATGGGCTCAAAAGTCATCAAAATCACTTGTGTTTTCTAGATGAGGTGATCGTTATGGCTATCTATTGAAATGCGATTGGAATGTTCCAACAATGTTGAAAAATAGTAGTGTCAAAATGTTGGACTCACTTTCTGGTAAAATTAATAAAAAATATTCTAAAAGTTCGATGAGAACAGATTACACAATTTTTATGATAAACAACATCATAATAATTTGCAATGAATTTGACACAAATATTATACAAACATTCTTATATTGATTCTTTTTTATAACCCTCTGAATGACGGAGAAAACATTACCCACATTTTTTCATGTAATAAATTACAGAAAAAGTAACTTACAAATTAGTGGTTAAACAATATTGAACGAACTTACTCATTTGCATAATTAGAAATACGTTTAATGTAGCGTGCAGAAATGCTGTGTGCAGTTGGGCGGACGTACTTCGAGAGACACAGAATTCTGCGAACCCACTTTCGCGAGATAGCGACCTCCAAAACTAGAGCGCTGCAATATCTCCGGATTGAAACTCATTCCCGTGGAAAAACTGTGAAAGTAGAAACATTTGCAGCAACTTGTCAATTTTTCAACCAAATATTTTTCTGTGAACAGGTGGACTCTATGAGTATCAATTAATTTTCACTCAGATATTCTCCATCAGAACTAATATATTATACTCTTGGATCATTTCCTGGATGAATGTGGTATCATAACTCATTCGTTTATCTTAGCAATTAGTCCACAATTCCCATATGTTTAGGCTAATACGAGCAACAAGTGCATGACGTTCTCCTGGGTGAAAAATTCTAAATTATAATCCATAAACTGGAAAGCTACCGAAAAAGTAATGTATGTTACATGTTCTTACCTTTTCGTGAACTTATTACTAAAGAGAAACTTGTGTGTAAGAGTATGTGCATAACATAGCCCCCAAAATATTGACGGAAATACATCTTTGATGGTTTTAGTATCAAAAATAAAGTTTATGTTATTTAAGTTATGGTTTTATTATCAAAAAGAAACAGTTCTTGAAATTAGTTTACAGATCATTTGGCGTGAATTTAGAGGTGGATCCAAGACTGTAACTGTATGGTAATGCAAGTCATGCCATGCTAGCACAGTCAGCAACATCGGAGTGTTCCGTTGATTATCAAAAGTTACATATTATTGTTTTGGTTAGGATGCGCCGTTCACACGATGACGTATTAGGTTACGTTGTTACATCTCTGGAACCTTCTTTAATGACACTCTGAGTAGAGTCACAGGTTAAGCAGAAATTTTAATTTTGCTCATGGTGTTAGGATATTTGCAAAAAT